CCTTCGGGGCGCTGCGCCCCGCCTGTGTGCAGCTGACCCGGGCGCAGACCGTGGAGAACGTGTGCCGGCTGCAGACTCACCTGTCCGGGGTGAGCGCCGCGGCCCTGCAGGAGCTGCAGGAGTATGTGCTCTTCCCACTGCGCTTCGCCCTGCGGGTGCCAGGGCCCAAGCAGGAGCGGCTGTGCAGTGCATCTCCTCTATCCTCGCTGTGACATGTGTGAAGAAGCAGGAGCTGCTGCAGGAGCTCTTCTCTGAGCTCTGTACCTGCCTCTCTCCACCTCCCAGCTCGGGCAAAGCAGCCCCGCTGTCGGAGGAGCTGAAGCTGGCTGTGATCCAGGCGCTCCGCACCCTGATGCATTCGGCTTATGGGGATGTTATCTTGTCTCTGTATCAACCTTCAGCTCTTCCTCTCTTAGGATTTGCTGTGTCTTTGCTCCTGGGCCTAGCAGAGCAAGAAAAAGCAAAGCAAATCAAGATCTCTGCTTTGGAGTGCTTACAGGTCCTGGTTCTGCAGTGTGACTGCCAGGAGCACCAACAGCTGGATGAAGATGAGGCACAGAAGTGTGGGGATTTGTTTGCTTCCTTTCTGCCTGGGATTTCCATTACTTTGTCTAGGGTTATTACTGGAGACATCAAACAAGGTCACAAACCCACTGTTTCTGCCATCAAACTCTTGTACCAGATTGTTGGCTTGGTAATGGGTGATGCACAGCTAGCCAGAGTCCCAAAGAGTAAAGAAAAGCTGCCTTTGGAACAAAGCAGGATATCAGAGCTAATGGTCCATAGAGGACCTGACTGGAGTAAAAGTACTGCTGAAAAACTCTCTCTCCTCCTGCATAAAGTGGTTGAATCTTCTTCAGTTCACCCCCACTGGAAGGTGAGACTGGAGCTGGTGGAACTGGTCCACCACTTACTGAGGAACTGCAGTCAGTCACTGGTGAACTCATTCAGCCACCTCTTAAAGGCCTTGGTTGGGCTGGTTAATGATGAAGACAGCCAAGTCCAAAGCAGGTGTAAGGAGGTTCTACAGGCCATTGCTGAGCAGAGGATTGTGGTGCAGAGCAGGGCTCTTGCTGACGTCCTCTCTGAGAACCTCCATTCGCTTGCCACAGCTCTTCCTCGCCTGATGAACTCTCAGGATGACATGGGCAAGGTCTCCACACTGAGCTTGTTGCTTGGCTACCTGAAGCTGCTGGGCCCCAAGATTAACTTTGTCCTCAACTCCGTGTCCCACCTGCAGCGCCTGTCCAAGGCTCTGGTGCAGGTTCTGGAGCTGGATGTGACAGATGTGAAGATAGTGGAGGAGCGACGCTGTGTGCCACCAGGTTCCTTGCAGCAGGGTGTGCAGAAGGGCAGGTGCCAGAAGAAGTACTTCCGCTTCTTCACGGAGGAGAAGGTTTTCCAGCTCCTTCAGCAAGTGTGTCGTGTTCTTGGCTACTATGGGAACCTCTATCTGCTTGTGGATCACTTCATGGGGCTGTACAGTGAGTCTGGCCTGTACCGAAAACAGGCAGCCATGGTCCTCAATGAGCTGGTCATGGGAGCTGCCGGGGTGGGAGTGGATGTGCTGCAGGAGAGGGAAGTTCTGCTGAACATGGATGATCTCAAAGAGTCCATAACATCCATTCTGGATGAGTACACAGACCAAGCAAATTGGTACTTGATCACTAGCATTGACACTGAAGGAAGCAGCCCTGAGCACTCTGTGCAGCACTCAGGACTCGCTGCACGTCTGGGAGGTGCATGCAGCAGTGTGCTCCTTCCATCCCCTGAGCCCCAGGTCACAACTCGCACCATGAACAGCAACATCTGGCAGATCTGCATCCAGCTGGAGGGTGTTGGCTGCTTTGCCACTGTCCTTGGGAAGGAGTTTCGGCTGCTGCTGCTGTCAGCTCTCTACCCTGTGCTGGAGAAGGCTGGTGACAGGACTCTGCTCATCAGTGACACGGCGCTGGGGACGCTGGCAGACATCTGTGAGGCCTGCAGTTACCACTCGGTGCAGTGCTTGATTAATGAGAATTCTGACTATCTGGTGAATGGGATTTCCCTGAATTTGCGCCAGCTGGCACATCAGGCACGTGCTTCCCAGGTCCTGGACACAATGCTAAGGCATTCAGATGCCAGCTTGCTGCCACTGGTAGAAGATGTCATCCAAGATGTCCTGTCTGCGCTAGATCAGTCTTACAATAACCAAGCCTCCACCTTCCTCAGGGTCCTCCACTCAGTCATGACAGCTCTAGGTACCAAAATGATGTTTACTTTGCATAGTTCAGTCTTGCTGTCACTCAGGGTACTTGTCCTGGACCTTTCCACTTGCCATGGAAGGTTTCAGGTAGCCAAGGTGCTGCAGTGTGATAGTCACTACTCTTTGTTTGGTGAGGCAACACTCAAGCAAAGATCACCAGTAGCTCCCCCTCTCCAGTTTCTCTGTCCTGCAGCATTGCTTTGGAGACTGAGAAAGGATGGGTTCCCTGCCCCCATAAATGTCTTGTAGGAGCACATGGACTGTATTCCTTTTTGTTTGTAACTTTCCTATACCATTAGGGAGGTGACAAGGGTGTGCCAGCAGGTGCTTGGTTCTGCAGTGCAGTCCCATGAGACCTGAGGACCATGCTTGACTCTCAAGGAATGTGTGGCACCTTGCTGGCTTGCAGGAGGGGATCGTGGCTGCTCAGTGACATGTCAGTTCTTCTTTTGCAGTCCAGTGGTTTGGAGTGCCCAGCACTGAGGAACACCAGCAGACTGACGGGTGCCAGAGCAGGGCTCAGCCCCAGGGGCAGCAGGTGACAATGACAAGGCAAGAAGTGGAACGATTCTTCCTTGGCTATGTCAGCCAGAAGCAGATTGCAGAAGGTGATCTTCCCGACACAGAGGAGGAGGCAGGTCAGTACTGTGTGTGGCTGGACAGGAGCATGTTCAGCTTGCAGAGAGACAGTGACCTCTGAGGTTTCCTTTTGTCACGTGGGGGACTTGGAACAGGGCTGACAGTCTCAGGTCTACGATGAGCTGACCTCAGCTCATGTAAGGTGCTGCTGGGTGTTCCTGCTTTGTTCTGTAGTAGAGAATAACAAAATATTTTCAGATCAAGACTAATCTAGCTCCAAGACAGAAGCACACTCTGTTTTCCCTTACCTCATGACAGGTTATTTGGGTTCGGGATCCAAAGTTCCCTCTTTCCAGGATCCTACTACATTTTCCTCATGCTCCCTTGGGAATCCCTGTACCATTTTCTCCTGGCTAATGATGCCACAGCTTCCATCTCACTTGGCTTTGGCAGGTCCTGCAGACATTCACATAGGGAACTTTTTAGTCTTTACTGGGCTGTGCTGCAATCCTGACCTTTAAATACTCAGTCTTTAAATACCCAGGCTTTTCATTTTTAATAAAAATCAATGGGAAATAAGTCCATGGTGAGAAGAGACTGCAAATGTCACACCAACTGCATTGTCCAGTAAGAAAAGCAAACCTTTCCTAGCCCCACACTCTTAACTGAACCTGACACTAACTCACAGAACTCAAGCATAGACCTGACTGTTTCTAATTACATTTAAAAATGCCAAAGGCCTCACTCAGGAGTTTGCAGAGTAGTTGTGGGTGGGTATTGTCATCTCTCAGAGCTCCCAAGTCATTTTTGTGGATTCACTGATGTTTTTGTCTTCCAGATGAGGTTCCTCCCCTGGCTAAGCCAGAGCCCAACAACTCTGACACTGAAGGAGAAGCTCCACTGCCAAGCCATGCTCAGCTGGCCAGAGATGTGATGGAGAGGTGCATACACTTGCTGTCAGACGGGAGCCTCCGAGTGCGGCTGAAGGTCGGTAATCACCAGCTCTGAGGGGACAGATGGTGCCCATGAAGGGGCTGGTAGCTCATCAGCATGTGCACCATGCACGTTGGGCTTCCTGCCATCACGAGGTTCACACTGCCATATGCTCAAGCAGGACAGATCCTCCAAGCCTGGCAAGAGAAAGGGGGATAGTTTCCTGGGAGTAGTCTGGGTTAGGAATGGCAGCCAGGCTGAACAGAATCTTAAGGGTGGCTTTGTACTGGGCACCTTCCCTTGACGCTTGTGGTAATCAAGTCCTGTGCCTTGGCTTTTGGTGGAGGACGCAGAAGAATCTTTCTCCCATCTGGGCCTCCCAGCCCCCTTCCTCTGGGGGTAGTGCACAGGCTGATGAACGTTTTTGAAGTTGCTGGGGTGATGATAAGCAGGACTAAAAGCCTGGCTTTTTTCCAGTTATGAAAATCCTTTGAAGGTGGCCTCCTTTTAAACTGCAAAGCAAGACAGAAAATGCAGCAGTGAGGCATAACCCAGATTCTCAGCCCAGCAGCCCCCAGCCCTGCCAGGTGATCCTGCTGCCACAGTGTGCAGCTCAGGCCAGGAATCCTGCCCTACTCCCAGCCCAACTCTGTACTCAGCACAAATTATGTCACTGCGGTGCTTTTCCCTTTCCAAATAGGCCTATGCTCTGAGCACTGTTCAGTTGTCCCAGTTCCTGATGCGGTAAAACCGCACCCTTTGCTACTCAGACACTCCTCCTCCTGGCTCCCCGTTGTGATACTGGGATTCACCTGGCACTGCAGCACTCAGAGTCTGTTCCCTCCCCTTCTGCCCAGGTCCTGGACGTGCTGGAGCTCTGTGTAACTGTGCTGCATCCTCATGGAAACCATCTGCTTCCCATGGCTCACCGTGTCTGGCCAGCTCTTGTCACCCGGCTGATCAGTGACGACCCTCTGGCAGTGCTCAGAGCCTTCAAGGTACGGCAGGGACTGCCAGCAGCTTTCAAGCTGGGGCTGGGAAGTGGCTTGGGCAGTGCTGCAGCCCAGGAGAGGAGCATCAAGCTTGTGCAGTGATGTTTCAATGTGGTTTGTAACATGGGATCTCACTGCCCTGCCATGGGTGGACTTGTATCACTCCCACTGCAGCTTGTCCACAGGTCCTGGGGGAAACAGCAATATTGGTGGTCACTGCTGGGATGAGGAAAACAGTTCTACAGCCTCAGCAGCTGTCAGAGGCACCGTACAGTAAAGCTTGGCTGTGCTGGAGCCACAGTCCCAGCACCCTCTTTGGAAGTTTCAGACTGAAGATAAGGGAATATTTCATGACTGAGGCATTGGCAGGGGAGGGGAGAGGTTAAAATAAGACTTGGCCTTATAATGACATTATTAAAGAGCTCCTGACCCTGTCAGCTGGCTGCATTCTCCTCCTGACTCAAAGGCTTGCCAGTAAAGCATGTTTCCAGAGGTTGCCAGCCCCAGAGTTCCACAGGCATTCATCTGCTGGACAATGAGATTCATTTTAGAATCCTTCAGTGTGAATAAAGAGAGTTCTGATTCCCCAAATTAAAAAAGCCACACAGTAGAATTTCAGAGTAGCCATGTCATGTCCCTGACATAAAAGGAGGTAGAGATTGCTATACAAAAACTAATTAACTCTTGAAAAGTTCAAGTGATCGTTATAATTAGCACCCAGCTTGCATTTTGTGGTATGAAATCGCCCTGGAGTGTCTTCCTGCCTAAATTCCAGGACAGGAGGTGTATCAGTGTAAGACAAACACAATATAACCAGCATCTCAGTCCTACACACTGAGACATGAGCTCAATGAAGTTCTGAGAGAGATCATTCTGGCCACGTTGGTTGGCTCTACGGATCTCCCTTTGTTTTTACATGTTTTTAGGTCCATTCTCCACCCAGTTTGGATTTGATCCTGGGCACACACAGTAGCACTGGGTGCCCTGTGCTGTGGCCAGTTGGCCTTTCTGCTCGTTGGCATGCTTGGAAAGATGGGCTGTCTACACCACAGAGGGGATTTAATGATATGAGATGATATTTAATGGCATTTTCCATCAGAGGCTCCGCCAGAAATTCTGAGCAAGACTGTACAGCTGCTCTTACCTTTGCTGTGCTAATGAGAGAAGGGCACCCAGGAGGTCAGTCGGGTGATGCTGCAGAGCAGGGTGGAGCTCACTCACTCTCAAACATTCACCTTCTTCTCATTGTGGGGAAACTGGGACAGGTATGGTCACATTGCTCTCACCTGCAAAAAAATTCTCCAAGGAGAATGAATGCCTTATCCCCCCAAGCTGGTTTGGGTTGCTGAGCTCCTCCCAGGCCCATGTATGCACGATCCTCCCGTAACTGGTGTCTCTCTTAGGTGCTGTGTACCCTGGCTGAAACGTGTGGGGACTTCCTGAGGCAGAGGTTCTCCAAAGATGTCCTGCCCAAGCTGACCAGTTCCCTCCTCAGTCAGGCCCCAGCAAGTGCCAGAGCTGGACCTGTGTATAGCCACACACTTGCCTTCAAGCTGCAGCTGGCTGTGCTGCAGGGGCTGGGCTCTCTCTGTGAGAGGCTGGACATGGGTGAGTACAGGTTGTGTGGTTCTCTGCCAGACTTACCTGTTTTTTCATCTCAGATTGCTGCTTCTCCTCCTGCTTCCCCAAAGAATTGGTTTCCTGATATTCTCCAGCTGCATCCCTTTCAGGTCCTGCTGGGCCTGAATCTGTCCTCTCTGTGAGGTCTGTAAAGAGGTACTGGGTGCTCTTTACTCCCCAAGAGACAAATGGGTAAGAAGGTTCCCGGCACATGCAGAATCTGACTGCTCATCCCACTTGTGCATGAGAAGGGGGTATGGAGTGGAGTGCCTGGGTTGCTGCATGTTGGGCCATGCTTTGTTCCTATCTGAAGAACTGGAACCCAAATAAGGCTTCTGGTTAACTTGACTGGTTCCATTTTGGGGCATCTCTCTGGATGACCCTTTAAATCCAGCACATCACACTCTTCCACTAAATGAAACTCTGTGAAATTCTCCCAAGTTAAATTTCTGGAGCTGACTTTGATGAGGGAGAAGGTTTGCTGGCTAGTTGATCTTTTCCCTCAGTGCCCTTGATTGCTTTCCTGGCTTTGCAGCAAGATGCTTAAGAGCAAGGTCAGAAGAGCTCCAGGTCAGGCAGCTCAAAGGCTCAGAAGCCTCTTGCTGCCAATTTGCAGCTGATTCTGTTAGGCAGCAGCCGCTGAGGAGGTCACCTCCTACCCTTCTTTCTTGTTCCATTTCTGCAGGCGAGAGTGACCTGAATAAAGTGGCAGATGCCTGCCTGATTTACCTCAGCGCCAAACAACCCGTGAAACTGCAAGAAGCTGCCCAGAGGTAATGTCTCTTAAATTCAGGTGTGTTGGGTGTACAAATAACGAGGGACAGAGGGAGCATGGGGACCCCATTCCTTTTGCATCTTTCCTATTCTTCTTGAGGGCGCATTTGAGTCCTGTATGTTAGGGTCTCTCATGGAAGTTTTCTCTGGTGAGGCATCATTTACTCCCCTAAATGAGCTAGAGAGGTCAGCTGTCAGTTTGCACAGACATTACAGTTGACTTTCAGGTGACTTTGCAGTGCATTTGGGGATGGAGAGGAAGATGTGCTACTTCCTTTTCCCTGATCACCTCCTATGCCCAAATGCTTGGGGCTCTTGGCCCACTGGTGGCATCAAAACTCCAGAGGGAAGACAACTATGGAAGAGGATGTGCCAGGCATTCACGTATATTTTATCACTTAATACCTTCTGCAGGCTTGGGGATTTACTTCTGTTATCCTTCCATTTTCCCTGGGCTCCTGTGATCACACTAACCCAGGCTGTGCCAGGTGGACTGGAGTTTGTTTGGGAAGCTGTCAGCCTTGGCACCAGTGTAGCTCTGAGAAGGCTGGGAGAGTCTGAAAGAGCACAAACAGTTTAGGTGAACACGCTCCAGCTCTATGAAGTGTTGACAGACATACTTTGCTGCTCGGTGTACAAAATCCTGCTCAGCATGTTCTTGCTGTCAGGATAAGAAATCACTATTGTCATATGTTGTCACCTGGAACCAAGGCCGGAGATTTCAGGAGACAAAACGAGTCCAGTTACAGAACACATAAATCAGAAAAGCAGTGCCCCTCTGCCGAAGGACGAGGAGAAAGCAACCCTCCTCTTCTTGTGTGTCCAGCCCTGCCCTCCCCCAGGGGAGGGGAAGCCAGCAGGCTCCGCAGGCTCTGCGGATTTTGGATTTCCAGGGCAGGCTGCTGGAAAGGGAAGCAAAAGGCAGCGCAGCCCATCCATTCCCTTCCACAAAGCACAGGCTCCCGAGGGCGCAGGGCGTGAGGGCTTTGTGTGGCTGGGCAGCAGTGCCGAGCGAGCGCTCTCCTGAGCTGGAGCATTCCTTTGTTTGTATCCCTCAGGTTTATTTTTACCTTGGTGGCTTTCATGGCAGCGCAGCAGGCTCCGGCGGCGTTTGTTCTGCAGAGGGGCTCTGCGCTGTGGGCGTGCATACCCTTAATGCAATAAAGCCTTCGTCTGTGTAAGCAATGCTGGATGGAAAGCAGAACACCAGGATTCATTTAGATATTTGGAATCTGAAGCTTTTAAATCATTAACCAAGCAGCTTGAGAAGCTGTGCAATTTCCCCCCAACCCCAGCAGGGGTGGAGGGAATGCAAAATGAGCCCTGTGATGCGCTGGGGTCCTTAGAAGCTCTATGGTGAAGTAAGCTCCATTGTTGGAGGAAAAGGGCAGCAAAGTTCAGAGCAAGTAACATTTTTCTTCTGCATATTATTTTTATTCTAATTTAAGGAAAAAAAAGCCACACGTTACACTCCTCCCCCCATGCCTTTGGTGCACCATATGTTGCATCTATTGCTGAACCAAGCTGCTCACAGAAGCCCTTGCTCTCTCCTGTTTAACTCCATTGACCAGACACATATATGCACTGAGGCATGCATCCTGTCTGGCCTGACACTAACCATACACATGGCAGCACTTGGAGGCTTCTTGTGGCTTTTAATTTTCAGTTTAGTCCTGTCTGATCCCTGGTTTTGGGGCCTGGATGGATCAGAGTTAATCATATCACACTCCCTTTTAACTATAGTACTCTGATAAGAGATTGCAGCTTGGAAAAGTCTAAGTTTGCACCACAACAATCAGCTCCAGCACTAGGATAAGAATAATTTCTCA